CCCGGCGGCCGCTACTACGGCGGGAATCAGTACATCGACGAGATAGAAACGCTCTGCTGCGAACGCGCGTTGGCTGCGTTTAGTCTGGACCCCAAGTGTTGGGGGGTTAACGTGCAACCCTATTCCTGCACCTCTGCCAATTTCGCCGTCTACACGGGGTTGTTGCTTCCCGGTGATCGTATCATGGGCTTGGATACCCCTTCTGGAGGGAACACCAGTCACGGCTACTACACTCCCAATGGGAAGAAAGTTTCCGGGGCTTCCATTTTCTTCGAGAGTTTGCCCTACAAGGTCAACCCTCAAACGGGTTACATTGATTACGATAAGCTTGAGGAGAGGGCGCTTGATTTTCGCCCCAAGATACTTATTTGCGGTGGGAGTTCTTACCCTCGCGAGTGGGATTATGCTAGGTTTAGGCACATTGCGGATAAGTGTGGAGCTGTCTTGTTGTGTGACATGGCGCAGATAAGTGGCATTATTGCGGCTAAGGTCTGAATTTTCTTCCTCCTCTCGTCCTACTCTTTAAGTGAATGAGTGAATCCTTTTTTGTTTATGTATATGTTGATCATTGTTGCTCTGCTTCTGAAAATTAGCTCACAGTTTGTGTTGATGGGTTGTTGCGATTATTATGACTTTTGCCAATTTTTCTGTTCCATTTCACCTTAAGCAGCAGAGGTCTTGTTTTTGTGAATGTGAATAGAAGCCCTACTTTGTGTTCTTGCTGCTACGGCTCTCCTACTTTGTTGTATTGTCCGAACAAGATATAAACTTTTGCACATTAACTGTTTACTAGTGTTACATGATACTAAGGTCTTAAAACAATGATTTCAACTTTTTGAGGACGAAAATCAAATTAATTTTAGGTTTAGTTACCATTTTTGTCCCTATAATTTCATAATCTTTACTTTTTAGTCTCTTTAGTGAAAAACATCTCGTTTTAGTGTCTATGCATACCATTTTTGTTCCCTTTTTAGTCCTTATTGTTTATTGTTATAGGAACTAAAAGGAAAAGTTTATGCAATTATAGAGACTAAAAAAGAAAGTAGTTGCAACTATAGGGACATAAAAGGGAAAGTTTATGTGACTATAGGGACTAAAGTAGAAAAAAATGGCATGAATAGAGACTAAAATGAAAAATTGTTAATTATAGAGATTAAAAGGTAAAGTTTATGAAACTATGGAGACTAAAAAGGTAATTAAGCCTTAATTTTATAAGGATTAAAATAAAACTCACTCATTTTATAGGAACTACAAGTGTATATAAGCCTCGAATCAAATGTCTTTTTTGCATTTTTCAACTTAATGCGGCATTCACAGATACGGCTTGTTTAAGTTGACAGACCAATACCCAATAATTGATTAGCATTCAATTTTGAAGCAACGCTCATTATTTGTCTTAACCTTATGGTATTTTTGTCTTTGCAGGAGTGTGTGAATCCTTTTGACTACTGTGATGTTGTTACTTCAACAACTCACAAGAGTCTTCGAGGCCCAAGGGGAGGCATAATATTTTATCGGAAAGGTCCAAAGCCGAGGAAAAGAGGGATACTTCTAAGCCAGGGACATGAAAGTGATCAATATGACTTTGAAGAAAAGATAAATTTTGCCGTTTTTCCATCATTGCAAGGGGGACCGCACAATAACCACATTGCTGCACTTGCTATAGCTTTAAAACAAGTAGCTACTCCTGAGTACAAGGCATACATGCAGCAGGTGAAGAGGAATGCTCAAGCTTTAGCATGTGCTTTACAGAGAAGAAAATGCCGTTTAGTAACTGGGGGTACAGACAACCATTTATTACTCTGGGATTTAAGGCCCCTGGGATTGACAGGTATTGTACAAGCATGTCATATTTTTATGATATATTGATAATTGCTTTTCTAATTGTTTAATACTTTAATGTCTCTGTCAAATAGAATCAACTAGTTTGCATGTTGGCTGCACATTGCATTGACTATGTTTATGTCTAGTCTAAACCTTTAGATTCTTTGACGTTTAATGTCTTCACATTTACATTTCTAGATGGGCATATGGGTTTTAATAGAAAGAGTAGGGGCTGCCTGAATGGGTTGGCCCCCAAAAGACCGAGGTGTGTAGCAGGTCAGGTGCTTCATTGAGACAAGGTGGCCAATGAAATATGATTGAAATTTAAGTCAATTATTATAATGATCAATTCTTATCTAACCAGAGGTGGTTTGCTACATGGATCAAACAACACCATCAGTCTCTAAAGAAAGGAAATTTGGGGAAAACCATTGATGGCAATGTATTTTGCTATGATATTTCCCAATATATTCTGTGGTCCACCTTACCCATTTTAATTGTATTATCTTACATACATTTGATGCACTTTTCTTAGAAGCACTTTCATTGGTGTTTTTCTCACACCTGTTGATTCCATCTTAGGGAATTCTTTAATTTAATTTTCCTCAGTTGGTTAAACTTGAAATTTCTCTTTGATACATTTGTTCTGGATACATTTTCTTAAGTATTAGCAAATCCACTGTTGCATTCTCATCTATATTTATGTATTTTAACTTTTTTAGACACTTCACTACCCAAATTCATTTATTAATAGAACATTATTGATGTTATTAATAGATCTCTTTTAGGTCTCTTTTGAGTTTGATCAGCACTTTGTGATCTCATATTATGCTTGAATCCTGTGTTCCAAGCTGAGCAATTAATGAAATTTGATTATCTTATTTTTGTATACGTTATCAAGCTCTAACCTTTTTTTTTTTGCTTGTAGGTAAATTTTATGAGAAGGTCTGTGAAGCATGTCATATTACCTTGAATAAAATTGCTATTTTTGGCGACAATGGAGCTATAATTCCTGGAGGTGTAAGAATAGGTGAGTAATAGTTTATTATGCTGGAACCTTATGCTTTGCATGCTTGGAATATTTAATTGGCTGTACTTTCTAGCGAGACAGATTTTTTATGCTGTATTCTTACGCAGGTACCCCTGCCATGACATCAAGAGGATGTATGGAGGCTGATTTTGAGACGATGGCTGAATTTCTATTTAGAGCTGCACAAATTGCAAGCATACTCCAGAGGGAGCATGGGAAATTGCAGAAGACAACATTGAAGGTACTTGAGAGCCAGAGGGACATTGTTGAGCTCCGGGCACGGGTTGAAGCTTTTGCTACTCAGTTTGCCATGCCGGGTTTTGACATTTGAACATGATATGGCTGGTGGATTGCCGTTATTGATTAATTATATATGCTACACTGGCGGGTCGTCGTGCCTGCTTTTTTGTCGCCTGCTTTTTACAAAAAAGCACTTGTCCATATATTTTGCGGAGCTTCTGTCCTCTCTGCATTGTATGCAGTTGTCAGGTTTTCACATGTTGCAGTGAGTTGCAATCTGGTACATGACAGTACGGAGTAGGTACTACCGTAGTGTTGTTGAGGTTTCTTTTGGTGATCAAGTATCTTGTTCCTACCTTGGAGGGCGCAACATTCCAGCTGAATGCATCAAGTTGAGTCGTTATAATGGTTGGAACATGGTTTCTTGATCACAACCAATCTGAGTACAGAATTCTTCCGGTGAATCTGCAGAAAATAATTACTCTGATAAAGGTTAGACACCCTGAATTCTTTTAGCTGCTGTTTGATGCTGAAAGCAATATTATTAATCCTATTTTTTGCTATATATTATCCTTTCCTGGGATCTATTTTTGTACTCATTTTCATAAATATCTTGCCGTGTTAATTGTTAAATATATAGGTTGATGTGGTAAATAGTGATTACTTTGTACCCTTGTATTATTTTGCAAAAAATATATATATTTTTTCTTCTCAAGAGAAAGGTTGATTAGAATGAGACATATTTCAGAAGCGCTTGAGTTCATACGCAAGTTTTGTCAGTGCGGCTTGTCTGATCAAAGGAATTAAATCGAGGGGCAGTTACATGGTCCTATATTTATTAAGTTGAATTGAATACACTGCCACTTTGATTTCTTTTTTTTTTTTTTTTTTTTTTTTTTTTTTTTTTTTTTTTTTTTCTTTTTTCCTCCGTTTGAGTAGTTGCTACTTGCTACCAATTGGCTATTGTAATCTCGGGGGATTAAACCGTTTATATTACTTGGTAAAGTAAGAATGTCGCACATCCTGAGATGGGTATCATACAAATGTTATGGAACACAATTTTGGTTACTCTTTCCAAAGTAAATTATCCAATTTGTGTTTTTATTATTGGTTTTTTATTTAATTTTTTAGTTTTTACCTAGCGGGTTTAAAATTATTGTCAATGTTGACTAATAATGTGTTAGAAAGAATTTTTATGGTGCTCAAATATTTTAAATAGTCCTAATCCAATTATGTTGATATTTCTTTCATTTTAATTTATCTTTCCATTCAAGTTATACATATAAGTATATAACAAGAAAATATTTATTATCCATTTTTTTTAATCAATGTCCAATCTGAATGTTTAGTCAATTTATAATTAAGCCTAGCTCTTAATAAATTTATTCTAGTCAAGAATTATTGATATAGCAATTAATGCAATCTATATTTTTAAAGGTATGTTGCATCACAAGGCATTACTTGATGATGTGTTAAAAGGTTAATAATAGCATTGATTACTATAACAATTTTTTTGACTAAAATATTTTTCTTAAGGGAGGTAGGTGTAATAATGAATTAACTAAAAATTTAGATTGGTCATTATTAATAATATATTTTTTCTGAAAAAATATTTTCTTGAATTTTAAAATTAGTATATTTGAAATAAAATAAAAACGAACGGCGGTAATATTAATTGGGAAAGGGAAATCAATTAAAAGTTAATCACAATTCTCCATGGATGACCAGTTACTTTTAAGATCTTTAATATTTTGATTACAATTATTTTGAATATAAAAGAAGCTATTTCAAACTCATGTAGTTCTTTTTTGTTTGTGTTAAGTAATCATTTCTTACATTTTTTTTAATCTATTTCACGAGAATCAAACTTGGTACAAAGATTTATAATAATTCATTGTCTAATACCTACAAAGACCTTTGATTTGTGTGTTTTAAAATTAAGCTTTATATCTACAAATTAGTGTCGAAGGGCTTAAGGCCCTCCTGTTAACCAATTTTTTTTTAAGCCGTGTTTAAAATTAAATTTCAAGAAAAATAATCAATTATTATTGTTTTCCTTGTAAATTAGATATAAGGGAGCCATTATTATTTCGTTTTATTTTTCCTACGAAACTAGGTAAAGTTTTGGGATCAAATATAAATATAAAATAAAACACATACGAAAAACCCTCTAAGTTCACAATGCACACATTATCATATCTTCTTGTTCCTGACTAATACCTTGGAGGGATAAGTGTTATCTAGGCCAATAGGATATGCTAGATAGTAGGATAATAAGATAACATATTTTATTAACACACAAAACAACTAATTAAAACATAATAGGATGGGGAATGATGATTATAGTGGTAAATAGTATCCGCCCAACACATCATGAAGTATAAACGTGGGATATCCATTTATTATAATCACAAAGTCTTAATACATAACTGTTTGGCTTTTCCATGTTTGACAATTGAGGCGATGTGATCCATACGAATAAATAGCGTTTGCTTGATCAAGCATTGGGGCTATTAACTTGTCATCTACGATCATTTATTAAATATAATTGTTTATAATTAGTATTAGCGAGGCATCTTATAATGACTCATCAATCTAGAATGTCTGGGTGTCCAATTACTCATGGAATTCGGCTCTTGAAGATACTTGGGAGACACTATGAAAGAAGGCTCACTCACTTACATTAGTCTTATGTCTCCAATTGGCAGATGGTTGTAGGTTCCATGACTACACGAGGCTTAATTAGCAAGATATTTGACTTAAATAAGAGATTTTGTGTAACATATATCATCATGAGAGCTAATATGTAGTAGTTCAGGCATTGAGGCTGTTTATGACCTAATCCTAATGTTATTCATTAAATTTGAATTATTGTGAATTTGTCATCACAACTAATGATCATGACAACAAAGTTTGCAAGATTTATGTGAAAATTGAGAGAAAAAAGTTATATATATATATATATATAT